CCCCGACTTCCATGTTTCATAATGATTCCCCCCATGCTTTTGGTCTTACACATGGCAGGGGCTTCAGTGCTACTAACCCATGTGGGAAACTGCGGGAATGGATGAGAGTATCACACTGCTAAATCATCCATGTTCATAACTATGGGTCTGGAAAGTGGATTCTGGTTGGGGAAGACTCTCACAGTTATGAAATATAAATCAACCTGAATATATATTCTCATGACTGAAGACAGTCCCTCCAATAACCCCCCAAAGGGACTGTCATAGAGCACTGCCATATAAGCCGAATCATTTCTGTATCTGGCTACTTCACAATGCCTAAAGGTTTTCTGTAGGTAAAAGCACTCAGGTTCTATAGCCAATGTAGCAAACTCTGTCCCTATACCACCCACCACCCCACCAATTCAGGAGGGAGCTTTGAATCACAAGGAGCCAAGTTATTTTCCTTTTGCAAGTTTCGTGGGTCTGACTTCACTCACCTCTAAGAGCAGTAGAGACTGGGGACTGTACACATCCAACATGCTATACAAACCGGATAACCAAGCTTGCCCTGAGGGATGTGGTGATGGACTGGCGATGTGAATGCACAGGATACATTTATGAAGGCCAAAAAAGAAAACTAAACTTCAAAATGGCAAATGGTTTTATTTGATCTTCTAATCTGTTTAGGTCTCAGCAAGAGGGAGCTCAGATTTAGAATGCCCTCATTCACCATTCAGGGAGGCCCAAGGAGACCACTCAACTGGCGCCTCTGTGCTTTCTCTTTGGGAGCACCTGCCGAGTTCCTGGACCTCAGAACCCCCAACTCAGATGGCCTTGAGCCTGCCCTCAGGGTCTGTGCAGACCCCTTCCCCAACCTCTCCTCCCAAGGGTAGATAGCGCCACTGGTGCCCACCTCTGTCTGTAAGATATGGACAAGAGGAGCTATTTGTGGAAGGGGTGGGTGGACAGTGGCCATTGGGTGAGAGAGAGTGACCCGTGCATACCTGTGAGACTCCTTAAGGTGGGAGACCGAGTCAGGAGCGGGGGAGGAAACCCAGCCCAGGTGGGGGCTGGGAATGGGCTTTCCCACACAGCCATGTTCTGGAGTGTTCTGAGGAACTAGGAGTTCTGAATCTGCTCTTCCAGGTGGTAATGAAGGTATCTTATATTTATCACCTTGTTGGCTTCATGCATGCATGGTTTTAGTTTGTCTTGTAACATAAAATTGTTTTAGACACGCAATATGTGGACCACTCTAGAAAGAGAGCATGCACTTTTGCTCTGAGTATTTCAAATATTGGGGGTGGGACTATTTTTATAATGATTTCTTTTGAAACATGTAAAGCGATATATAAGGATGATTTTCTGGGCCGAGAGAATGATTTGTAAATTCTTAAAAATAACTCGTGTGGTGACCAACTAACAGATCACGAGCTGGTTTCTCTAGAATGCTCAACGTGCAGTTGACAGGGTCACAGGGAGTTTGGCAGGTGTGTTGACTCTCTGTCTCACAAGTTGGCCTTGCAAAGTTCCAATTTCCGGAGTTGGGAATAATATATCATCTACATTCTTGAGAACCACCTACCATGACATGAGAAATGCCCTTTGTCAATGCTGCAAATGGAAAGGAATCTCTCTAGGTGGGACATGTGGTGTGGATGATCAGACTCTTCTCCAAATGCATTTTCAAAGCCTGGTGCATTGCAAAATGTTTGGGACCAGGAGCTCGGCCTCAGCGCTGAGGCCTAGCAAGCTTAGTTTCCCAGTGGAAACCAGAGCTAGTGCTAATGCCCATTACAACCTTGCAAGGGAGAGGACTAATTTGGAAAGAATATACGTTAGTAAGCACAGCCCAGAATTCATGGTGTTCATGGAGCATCTGTTTATGATGACCAGCAGTAGAATAAGGGACCATGGGGTCTGTTTCCTCAGGGAAGAATAATCAATGTGTTTATTATAGAACAATAGACAACTCACCGATCTTGAAACGACCCAGGTAGTAGATCTGGGTGCTGAGAGCCAAAGAAGCCAGAACATGTATCATAGAGAAGATGACCCAGAACCACATGTCATTTTTTCCGAAAACCTAGGAATAAAGATGGAAGTTAACTTCGCCCAAGGTTTTACCCGAGGATGCTCTACACTCCTACTCTCTGTCCAAACTGAGTTCTGTGCAGGTTTTGTCCCCGGCCCCCTTTTCTGAATACACAATGATTATACCGCATCAGGGGCAAGAATCAGAGAAGCTATTGCCTGAGGCTTTCTGGCCAAAGGAAGAGGAAAAGGGCGTAGATGGCTGAGACAATGGAAAATGGTGAAGGGACAATGGATTTAACCCAAACTCCTGGTCACCGAGTCAATTCCAGTGCACGGTGACTCTATAGCACAGGGTAGAACTGCCCCTGTGGGTTTCTCAAACTCTGCATCTTGATGGGAATAGAAACCCTCGTCTTTCCCACCACCACCCCCAGTAGAAGCTGGTGGTTTCGAACTGCTGACCTTGCAGTTAGCAGCCCAATATGTAACCCATAAGGCCACCAGGGGTCCACTTTAGTGATCAAAAGTTGGGGCTTGCTCTTTACATCACTGCAAGGCAACCAATATTCATTGCTCATGTACATTAAGAAAGCACATTTAGAGACTAACTTTTCAAAGTCAATGTCCCCCATCAGTTTCCACATCTCTGTCCCAACCTCACATGAGCCAGGTCCTGGCCTTATGTTAAAAGGAGGGTGGTAACCTAACCGGTGCCTATTACACAAAACACAAAAGCTACAGCAACAAACCAAATGAGCTACTTCACTAAATAAAAGCATGTAGTCAATGAACCGATGTTGAGAAGGTGTCAGGAACCAGGAATTCTGATGAATCCCAACCAGTTGACTTAAGGTCCCACAAACAGAAAGAGCAGAAGTGTTTCCACGGGGTCCTTTCGAGCGATGGAAGGTGGGTGGAGAGGGACGCACCACTCCGAGGACGGTGAGCATGGTGACCACAGCGAAGGAGGCGTAGGCAGAGTAGGCGCTGGCATTGATGTCGGGGTGGCGGGTCTGGTAGAGCTTCAGCATGCAGAGGCCGGCAATCATGTACATGAAGGAAGTGTCTGCGGATGGAGACCAGGGCCAAGGCAGTCAGGATTCAGCAGAGGACACCCCCCTACACAGACACTTTCTAGATTTCTCTGCAGTCCCCAAGGAATCCTTCAGAGTGACCATGGAGTCTAGCGTATCTGCTGTCCTCCGATTGTAGAGAGACCTCTCCACATGTCAGTTGACCTAGACATAGTCTTTTTTTTTTAATTGTTAGAAATCGTTTTAATGGGGGCTTTTATAGTTCATATAACAAGCCATATATCAATCGCATCAAGCACATTTGTACATATGTTGCCATGATCATTTTCAAAACATTTTCTTTCAACTTGAGCCTTTGGTATTAGCTCCTCTCCGCCCCCCCCCTCGCCCCCCCTTGTGAACCCTAGATAAATGATAAATTATTATTGTTTTCATATCTTACACTCTCCGCTGTCTCCCTTCACCCACGTTTCTGTTGTTCATTGGGGGGGAGTGCACGTTAATACATTGATCATTGCGATTGGTTTCCCTTTTCTTCCTCTTCTCCCCCCACCTTCCCCCTACCCACATGGTATTGCTACTCCCATTACTACTCCTGGGGGGGTTATCTGTCCTGGATTCCATGTGTGAGAGCTCCAGTGTACATGCTCCTGTCTAGCCGGATTTGTAAGGTAGAACTGGGGTCATGATAGTGGGCTGGGAGGAAGTGTTAGATCTCTCTCTGGAGCTAGATCTATATCTCAGTCCTTGGCTCCGCACGAGAAAGAATTCACGCCAAAGCCTGGTTCGTGATCGAAGTGAGTTTTATGAAAGTTAGAAGAAGTTTCAGGTTTACACGGCACCCAAGGGTCTCCTCCCAGACATGCGGCTCGCTGGAAGCCGCTCAGCGTCCTGCAAAGCGTCCCAAAGTTCCGCTCAAAGCTCTCTGCGTCTAAGTTCTCTCTCTCCCTCCGGGCTTCTGCCTTAGGATTCCACGGGAGGCATGGTGGAAGACCCCCTGATTGAGCCCATTGGCTAAACTGAATTCACCTTGGCCCAGGTGGGCCAATTCAAGTTCACGCCCACCCCTGCCTACCGGAGGGAACCCTGAGCATGTGCAGTGCGCCACTCCTTTGTTTCCCTAGCTTGGCCCTCTGGGCATGTGTTAACGGACATTCCCAGCCCTTTGCTAACCTACCTAGCAGAAGCATTAAGGAACTAGAGTAATGTGTGTTTTGTCAGGGCTACACTGCATCCGGGCTGACTCTCTCTTCCTTCTGTGAGGGGATGACACAAATTCTTGAGGCAGGCTCCCCGCCTCTTGTCCTCTCTCTGCTTCCAAACCCCTGTGTGGCTGTTCTTGGTTCACAGAAAGAAGTTCCTGGTTACATGGTATCATATAATTACTCATCTCTATTTGTTCAAGAACAGCAACAGGAATCCCTGAGGGTGGACTTGTAGGCAGTGTGGCAATACAAAAGAGCTCTGAGACAGAACGACACTGATTACTAACATAATTAGCTTCATCGTCTACAAGGAGAGAGCAGAAATTGCGACTTGACTGCATTGGATTGTGTGAATGTAAACTAAAAAAGCACTGCAGTGTCCCATTGTTATGCATTGAATTGAATCCCCCAGAAAAAACGTTTTATTGAAAGCACTTGTAAACATGCATTTCTTTTGTTATGTTAATGAGGCCCACCACCAGAGTAGGGTAGATCTTGACATAATCCTTTCTGAGTGTTGTCTTATCAAAAGAGCAGAACACGCAAGACTGGCTGGACCAGAGGAGGTACACTGGTACAGATAGGAACTGAAAATACAGGGAATCCAGGACGGATGAGCCCTATAGGACCAGTGGTGTGAGTGG